TTAAAAAAAATTATATTTGAATGGTTCCTCTGAACTCAAGCACATTGAACATAGTGTGTGTCACTGGTCCTCTGTTTTCCTTTATGAACTAAGTTTAAGATAGACAATCATATGATAATCTGGTCTATAAAAGAAGTTTGTTAAAATGTGAAAAGATTAGAAACTAAAAAATAAAATATAAACAGCTGTTAAGAATGGAGTGGAACAGAACAATAGTTGTAGGTTGCCTGTGAGGAATTGTAAATGGTACTTGCTCTTTATTCTATTGATTTCACATTACTTCACATATTGATGTCTAGATTGAATTTCTCATAATAATCACTTTTTCAATTTTTTCACATATGGTCTATGAGAAATCATAGCATCTTGCTGGAGGTAACAATGTGCGCCCATAGAACCACCGAAAAATTAAGTTAGAAGAGACCTCTGAAGGTGCTCAAATCCAAACTGCTGCTCAAAAAACGGTCTACTTTCAGTTGGATTAGTTTCCTCAGGACCCTATCCAGCTGAGCTATGAAAGTATCTGAGAATGGAGGCTCTACAATCTCTCTTGGTAGCCTGTCCCAGCAATTAGCTGTTCTCTTTATAAAATTATTTTTCCTTGTGTCCAACTGAAAATTCCTCTTGTTGCAACTGGTGACTGTTGCTTCTCATTCTTTGACAGTGCACCTCTTAGAAATTGTCTTGGTCTTCTCTGTAAGCCCTCTCTTCCTTTGGTTAGCTGAAGACTTCAAAGAGATTCCCTGCCTTAGCCTTCTCTTCAGGATGAGTTCACTCGGCTCTCAGCCTCTCATGTGCTCCAGCCTGCTAGCCACCTTAACCTCCCTCAGCTGGACTCCCCCCATATGTCAATGTCCATCTTGTACTGGATGACCAAAACTGGACATGGTATCCAGGTGCAGTTTCTCAAGTGCCGCAGAGTGGAAGAATCACTTTCTTTGACCTGCTGCCTATTCTCTTGCTGGTGTAGCCCACATGCACGCACAGCCTCCATAAAGGTGGGCTGCTGACTCATGTTCAACTTCTTGTCTGTCAGGATGCCCAGGTCCCTTTCTGCAGAACTGCTCCCTAGCATGACAGTCCTCAGCTTCTACATCTGCGTGGCATTGCTCTGTCCAGTGTTGAGGACTTCGCTTTTGTTTTTGTTTAGCTTCATGAGGTTTCTCTCTGCCCAGCCCTCCAGGTTGTTGAGGTCCCTCTGAACTGACGCTCTACTCTCCTTTGTATCAACTACTATTCCCAACTTAATGTCATCTACCAACATGCTAAGGGTATGTTCTGTCCCATCATCCATCATTAATGAGGATATTAATCAGCATCACCCCCTACTATCAACCCTGCAGGACCAACATAAATAACCAGTCTCCAGTTGAACTCAGTACCCTCTGAGCCCTCTAGTCCAGACTGTTTTTCACCCAACTTGTAATTCTGCCGTCCAGTCCCTCTCTCTCTAATTTGGTTACAAAGGATGCTGTGGGGTCCTGCATAGATAGCCTTGCTCAGTTGAAGTAACTTACATCAGCTGCTTTCCTCTTGTCTGTAGAGTCAATCTTTTCATTAGAAAGGGCCATGAGATTGGCTAAGTGTGGTTTATCCGTGATAAATTCATGCTGGCTTGGCAATACAGAGCTTACTTTGTGCAGGTAAGGTGACCATTGCCTTCAGCCCTGCCCTCATAGTCGCTGTAGCCTCAGATCTGGGTGGTTGTGTCTTCCCTCAGCAGTTCGTCATGGTCCAATCCTCTGACATGGTGGGGTGGCTGCTCAAGCTGGTGCAGGGGACCTTGCCCTGCAGCAGGTCACCACCTCTGTTATGCCAGATCCAGCAGTCTTGCACAGTACTGAGCAATGTCTCTGGGCTCCATCTGCACCCCTTCCCACAGCAATGGCTGAGCCAAGGGCTTTGGTCCTGGTTGCTGGAGCTCCCTGCGGGTCAAGTCCCTGGGAGGCCGGACCTGAGTCCCTTCGCTGCCTCGCAGCATGTCCTGCTCAGCAGGAAAACTCC